TGTTGTGCTACATTATGCTCCTAAAACCCTACCTTTGTTTTTTACCCAGAAGCCAGCCTGAGCTCTTATTTTCAACTAGAGTCTTTAGTAAAGCATGCTGGTGGAGTAGCTCACAGAGGAGGTTTAAAGGAAATAGAAACAAATTGGTTAGAAACAAAGTAATTAGATTGAATATCACCAGTGTACTGTGCTTGGAGCGGGCTGAGTGATGGCGATTCACAGGACATCTGTCAATTGGAGGCCATCAGACAGAGTGGTTGTTTCAGTTCCCTGATATTTAACTTAATGCTTTGGTTCCTGTCCTTTTCTAATTTGAAATTTTAAGTTATTTAAGGCTTAAGCTTCTAAGCTTCCTTTGTGTGAGGTTATTGACTTTTAGTTGCAAATTGAGATAATAATATATAACCAGGTTAAGGAAACCTAGAGAGTCCCAAGTAGTTGGGTGTCTTCAGCTTTTGACTCTTGCTGCTCCAAACTGTTTAGTCACATGCTACTTAACTGTCAAAATAAACTAGATTTTAGTGGGAGGAACTTCTATTAAAACCTCTTTCTTGATTCATTGTGTAGAACTGTGTCAGAGAAAATCAGTAACTCAGTATACAAGGGACCTCGTGACTCCAGTGCCTGTAACAAAGAGTAGCTTAAACAGAGCATGGTGTGGGCAGATGCTTATACATGAACTGTTTTGGATGCTTGCAAAATTAGTAACTTTCACATGAATCACAATCAGGAAGTTTAGATTTGTCAAGTTTATTATAAAATATCTAATGTAAACTGTGCTTAATGAGAGTGCATACTGTGGACTGCAACCTTACATGGGTGCTATTAACTGCAGTCCACTTGTCTCTGTTGAGTGGAGACAAGTTTTTTCAAGCTGCTTTCCAGTTTACAGTAACCACCATTTTTTATTTTAGAGACAGTCAGAAAAGTTCACAGCATTTACTGTTAATGCCTGGAAGATGTCTAACTGACCCTATGGAAGCCTCAAATGCTGTTTCAGCATCACAGTAACTTGCATTGGCAGAGGCCCGAGCTGCTTGGTTATCTTTCTTACCTGGAAATGATAGGGATTTTTGCTGATCAACTTCTGCAGAGCTCTGGGGGTATCTTGGCTCTCTCCATCCTTGCCTTATCGCTTTAATACAGTGTTGAGTTGCTGCAAATGCACAAAGTCTCAAATTGCCACCTGCTTTGGTGGCTTTCAAGAGTTAAAATGCAGTGATGTGGCTGGCTTTGAAACACCACCCAAGTGTGGCCCTGGAGTCTTGCATGGTCCTTCTATTTCCATCAGACTGCTTGGGTGAGGTTACCCTTCTGTATGTCAGTACTCAAAAGGAGAATAATTTCTGCTGCCAGTGTTTAAAGAAGCTGTTTTGAGGAAGTTGTCGTCTTCATGTAATGCTCAGGCAGGAGATTTTTCCTGTTATTTTTCCATGACAGGATGTAAATAAAAAACAGTTGGATATGAGGGCAGAGGTAAATCCTATAGTACTGGTAGCAGTTCCCCCAGGCCATCATGGATGATGATGCACCCTGTGGCACAAACTCGGAGGACCATATGTGTGTCTTCAGCTGAATAAAGTTTGAAACAAGGGATGTTTGAACTTGGTTCACTTCAGTGTTTGGAATGAATTCAGTCGCATATATCAGGATTACCTAACATTTGGTACTTAGGGTTGCTGGTCTCTGAGGGTAGATGGCCTCATGTGTGGCTTTTTAGCCCCTTGTTGGGATCCCTGTTGTGCAAAGCCAGGCTGCCCCTCTGTCCTGTATCCTTTGCTGCCAAAACAAGGCTCCAGCCATGACTGTCCCTCCAGCGATGATGCAAAGAGACGGGGATTATATTCTGAACCTTTAAGAGCACAATAATCAGGCTCAGTAAAATTATTTCCGGAGCTACTAGTCTTGGTTATGACACTTGTTCCAGTGGTTTTGGAACACTGGATTTGGGCTGGAATGGGTACAGAAATGCTTTTTTGAATTTAATTAGTGAACACAGTATTGCACGGATGACTTCAACTCTCCTTGTGCTCCCCTTTGCTTCCTAGAGGCTGCCTTTCCTGCTAGTTGGCAAAGGTAGGTGTGTGGTCAGTTTTAAAGCACTTTGCCAGCTTCAGAGGTCCCTTAAACCTTTTTGGTTTTCTTAGTTAGAAGTATGATTGTTTTTAGACTTAGTCCTTTGGGCAGCAATTGTAACTGATATCTGGGTACAGGGTGGTCGGTGTCTGCTGTGTGGAGATGTCCCAGAGGGGAGAATTTGGGATCTCTTAGCAGGCTGAATTGGCCAAGTGGAGTGAAAAAAGTTGTTTTTCTCCAAGTTGGCAACTTTATGCTACTACTTGCAGATATAAATGAACTTTGTCTTGTGAAAACTTCTGTGAGGCAAGTGCTTTGAAATGTGTATAAAGGAACACTTGTGTGGTTATCTATTTAGGAGAGTTACGCAGTTACATTAGCCTCCAGCTACCCTGCCACATAAGGGGGCAAGCACAAAGCACCTGCTTAGAGATTACAAAATTTGTGCTGAACATGGGTGGTACAAAAGCACTTCCCCAGCATCTTTCTCTTTGGAAAATCAGATGTTTTTTTACAGTGCTGTCAGATAGCAGGGCTTTGTTTGCCAGCTCTCATGAACAAATAGCACGTTGTGCTGCCTTATCACGAGGTTGTCCCTTGGTAGGAATGTTTCAGGTATTCCCGATGCACAGAAGGAAGACCCAGAGCTTGGAAATGCCTGATCTGAAAACATGATGTGGCTGCAATATCTGGTACCTTTCCAAAAGTGAGAACTCGGTACACGTTGGGCTTTTGTCCTGCAGACTTGATGGCAGTCGCTTAATCTGCTGGTCAGCACTTCCTAGCGCTGGCTCTTTCGGAAACAGAGCAACAGCTTTGAACTGTGATGAAAACAGGATTGTTTTTTAAGGCTATAAAAGGCATCCATCTTGTTCCTTTTGGCATGGGTTTTTCAGTCATTTGTAGTCAATGCTCCGAGTCCCTGAAAATCTGAAACTGTCCCGTGTAAACAACTTTCTTTCACAAACACTCGCGGTGGCTTTGTTCCCCAAGCTGCTACTTACTGGAAAACTGCAGGGGACCTGGCCTCTTACTTTCTTTCCTTATAGGCAAAGCATCGAAAAGTCTCTTGCACTTCCAGTCCCTATTGCACAAACGTTAAGGTGTTATTTTTGCCCTAACAGAATTTGCTGAATTGCAAAAAAAAAAGCCATTTGAGCTAGGTGCAACTGCATGTAAATATCTTTGACTTCCAAATATTGCAGTAGCATTTGTTTTCCCTCTCTGCCATGCACAATTGCTCACTGTGTAGCATGGCAGATTACATAGATGGCCATGACTAGGAAAATATGTAGCACTGTTTCTAAAATGTCACTTGCAGTTGCTTGAAACTTTGGCAGACTTGTTTTTGTGCTTGTTCTTTCTGATTAAATCCTGTAACAGGCAACAATTACTGGAAAACATGGAGAAAAAGGGGGAATCAGAGTGACTGCCCGGGAATTAACTCTGTCTTAACTCTTCTGATTATTTCAGTATTTCTAGTGCCGTGTTGCAAATTTGGATAACAAGTTACTTGCGATGAGGTCAATTTTGTTCTTGTTCTAATGCCTCAAGTGGAGGGTTAAATATTCATTAAGCATTTCTGTGAACTTAAAATCCCCAAGCTAATTCTTTACCAAAAATCTACACAACTTTGTAGCTAACAAGAAGGGATCCTAAAATCTGAAGCTGTGTGTGTGTGGACATCAGCATTTTTCTCAGTATTAAATTTCCTTAATCTGTGTGTGCCACTTCATAGCTTCCTGCAGCATCCACTCTTGCAAACTTTCTTACTAGGGCATCTTTGTCCAGGGAAAAGTATTCTAAAAAGTGTTAAAATGAGTTAACCATGGGGCAGAGTGAAAAGGATGCTGATGCTGCTGCCACTGCCAGCTCCTGAATGCTCCTGCGGGCTTCACAGCCCTTCTTGAGCACCAGGTCATTTATGTAGACAGGGTTGATTGGATTAAATCAGATTTAAGTCAGGAGGATTGAAATCATGGTTCAAAGGATCGATTTTAATTTTGTTCAGTAGTTTTATGCTTATCTTCAGGAAAATTGTTAATAATTAAAATGTTTGCAGTTGCACCACTTAGTCAATATTTCCTGAATGTGTTTCAGCCTTTTGGCTTGTTTTGAGGGCATTTACTTGTATGCCTCACTTGAGACAGTTCTCAACTTTTCTTAAAAAGTAAATAATTGATGTGTTTTATTGTATGTAGTTAATAAATTTCCAATTTTGTCCAAAGAAGCCTCAAACAAATGTGACATGCCTCATCCATGCTCCCCATTAAGCTCACCGCAGACTAGGGCTGGGTATTCTGATATCCTTACCTAGAGCAGGACTCAGCAACCTGGTTCCTTACTTTAACTGTTTTGAAAATAGCGTTATTGCATGCACCTTGTTGGTGCCCACCTAAAGGAATATGTGTTTTACTTGGTACTATTTGTTTGTTCAGATCAAGGAAGATATTTCTGTCCCAAAGAATGGAGCACATCGGTTTGAGAGTAAAATAATGCTAATGTGTGCAGTTCAGTTTTCTTACAGTAATGATCTGTGGATACAAGTATTTAAACTATTTTCAGGAGAAGGCGATTGTACAGATTTGGGTATGCCTCCCTGTGAAATGCCAATGCCCATGGCTCTCTTTGTATCTCTCCCTGCCCCATTTCCTCCAACATTCTCTGTTTTGAAGCTGCCAGACTTTTGTTTGATCTTGCAGCCTTAACGTTTCTTTAATCTCACATTGTGCAGGAGTGTGTATATAAATAAACAAGGGAGGCATTTTGCAAGAGATTCATAACCTTCTTGCAAAGGTCTTTTAAATTATAACCTGAGAGGGTGGGTCATTGGTGGGGGGGTTGGGTGGAGCAGGATTTTTATTTGTTCCTGTAATTAGCCTTTGATGCAAGCTGAGAACAAATCTTTTTTCATCTTTGCAGATATCAGCTACTGACCATGTCAACGGAGTTCCAGGATGCTCACCTCGCAGAGGTGAAACCTCTGGTGGAGAAGGAGGAGGTAATTATTTTAAAGCTTCTTAGCTCTTATATTTTCAAATTCAGTTCTGACATCTCTTATGGAAGAAACAAGTACGAGAAACTGGAGATGGAATAAAAGTGTTGGGTTTTTTTAAATGCAAAACTGAGCTGTAATTATTTGGTCTTTCTCAGTCTTTGATTTTGCTTTTCCTTAGTGCTAACCTGGTGGTGACATTTTTTGTTTCCTAAGTAGTACCAGTCCTGGGTGTCTTTAGCTATTTTGAGTGATGCCAACTGGGCAATCTCATGTAGATCCATCCATACCTATAGACTTACCAATGTAGAGATACAAACTTTGCTCCATCAGCTGCCTTTTAAGGAGGTGTGGAGAGTGCCTTTGCTTTTCCTTTGGATATATGAGTCTGGAGGTATGACTGCCCCACCAAATCCTGTCTGCCTGCATTGAGCTATGAGCTACAGCCAAGCTGCTACAAGGTCTGCAGCTGGCTGGGTGTTCTTCCGGGGTTGCACTGTACGAACATCTTCAGCCTTTTTTTTGCTAGACCCTGCTGTAATTCTTCCCAGTTGTTTTTGCACCATTTTTCTCCAAAAATCTGCTCACAGTGTCTGGGTTCAGTAGTATTTTCATTCTGGTTTTCTTTTTTTTTTTTTTTTTGCATTCATCTGCTGCTTTCTTTCTTATTCCCTACCTCTTCTGTGTAAACACTTCAGAAAATAATTTCCACTTGTGACTGCAGTGAAATGCCTGGAGGAACTTTAAACACAGATCCTTTGCCAAGGGCATTGCATGAAAGCAGAGTTTGTTTGGATACCAGTGAATTTAGCACTCAAACTTTTCAAATACTAAGATCTCTTTTTAATGCCAGTATTGTTCAGAAGTAACAAAGAGAAGCAGATAATAAAGAGAAGTCCTATTGGTGCTGAAATACCTTTGCTTCAGAAGGTATCAGAAATATCTTAAAATACTGAAACTTCCTGGGTTTCTGTAGCACGGAGATCAAAAGTTGGTATCTTGACAATGAACCCTATATGCTTTTATTTACTATGGAACCTTAAGCTTTGTCTCTGTGGGGAAATGATCAGAGAGTTTTATTTCCTCTGTGGCCATTCTTGACACAGAGTGAAGGAAGTTACTGAATATATTTTGAGAAAGTGGACAAGATTGCCCTGAAGGACACTCAGCTCATACAAAGGTTAACAGTTGTATCCTGGCTTATTGTGCCTCGCTTTCTTCTACAGCTGAGTCTTCGTTCCTGAGCAGTGATGGAGCCTTATTTCATTTGCTGTCCAGACAGGTGCCATAGCTACTTATTCCTTTTAACTCTAGACTCCACTGGAACATCATGTATGAAACCAGCTATGTTTAAAAGATTGTGAGACCAACAGTATAGTAAGATTAAAACCCACCATATTTTTTAAACTTAAAGCTGCATAAAATGACTTCCACACACTCATTCAGCTCTTTAGACACCTGTCTGTATATACAAGACACTGTCTAATTGCCAGAAGATCATGGCTGTCATAATTATGAGTTGGACTGCAATGCCTCAAGGTGCATCATCTGAGATTATATTGCCCAAGACAGCATCTGTATTGCTTCTGATGTCTTCCACCCTCAATTTACCTGGGCTTCTGTGCCTGTGTGACCTCCCTGCCAGGATCTTAAGCTTTGCTTTTCATCTCAGTACTTCTTTTTCAAGATTTGGCTTCCCTGTAATACTCTGCAGGGTAACAAGTGTCAGTTTGACTGCTGTTCCCTCTGTATTCAGTCCTCTAGTGGACTGAAAGGAGATGACTGTAAGACACCTTTTTCTTTGAAGTTATGAGCCTCTTAAACTACTGGAGATGGGGAGGATGTCACCTTAGTCCTTTTCTGGTGTCCTTAGACATAGGAGCTTGTCAGTAATAGCAGTGGCTTGGTCACAGGCTGGAAAGGACCTCTCCATGACCAGCCAACCTCCCAAATATAACAAGGCCTATTTTTGGCTAGGATAAAACCCTTTTCACCTCTCACATTGTGTAACCAAATCCCAGTAATGACTGCTTAGCTGAGTTGCAAGCAGTTGGCGCATGCTTGAACAACAGCTTTCTGTCCTAGGCAGGACTGAAGCGGGCTGTTGGCTGTCCCATGGCTACAGTGAGCAATGGAGAGAAGTTCAGCATTTCACTGTTCTGACTTGTCCAGTGATTTAACCATAACTGAAGATGCACCAGCTTTTGTGCTGTATTTTGCTGATCTATTAACCTAGTATTTTACTGTTTTCATGTTCTCCATGAAGATTAGTGGGTAAAAGCTCTTGGGTGCGTTTTGATGCTCAGCAAGAGTTTTCATTGAATTAAGGGGGCAGGACAGAGCTCTCTGCTGCAGAACCAGTGGGTTAGAGCACATATGTCTCAGTGCAGATTTCTCTATCTGCAGAAGTTACCTGCATTAATGCTTTAAAATCTCTCCACAGGCTATCACCCGCCTCCTTCCAGACTTCGATGTTCAGGCAAGTAAAACTATTCTTCTCTCTCTTTTGTTTATTTTTTTAAATTTTGGTTAAAGGGAAATTGACATGAAATTTGAAAAAACAGCAAAAAGTTATCAGAAATGACTGGCTGCTCATCAGAAATACTGCTACTGTGGGAGAGGGGTCTGAATGGGCACTGATGTAATGATATGAAGGGGACTGCAGGAGGTCTTTTCAGGCCAAAGCTGAGAAAGTTTCATCCAAAAGAGGTGTCTGGGTTGCAAGCAGTTCTATTCTTGCTAAGAGAATGAGATTCTTCAGCTGTGGTAGTGAAAGCAATGTATTCCCTTCCGTCCCCTCATGGACAAACACTTTCCCCAGTTAATCTGCTTTCATTAGCCTTGTGCCTGCATTTCCTTGGAGGAAATGTCCCTCATCGATGTATCCCATTGTGCTGAAAGCTTCCAAAAATGCTTGAAGCCTGTGAGCAGTAGAAAGCACTAAGCAATCAATTTTTCCTCTATCAGGAGTGATGATAGTTTCTGCATGTTTATTTACAGCCAGAACATAATAGTTCATAAAGCGCACCACTAGGTCAAATGGTGTCTTTCTACTTTCTATGTGTGACTTTGTAATTCTCTTAGATCCTCTTGTATTTTATTTTATTGTCATTTGGACTTCTGACTGAGAAGTTTTTACTTGCTGGTTATTAAACTGAGACTACAGAAATTCACAGTTGTCAGAGTCAGGCTGGGCTGGACTGGATACAGAGACCAGCAAGCTTGTACATGCCTCACCAAAAAGACTGAGCAATGAATTCCCATCACTGAGGACAGGAAGGAGTATGTGTCGAGAAAAGAGGCTCAGCGGGTGTCTTATTTTTATCAAGGGGGTGTAGGGAGGGAGGTAGATTGTGCAGGAATAAGGAAAGCTGTTAAATTGCTCTAGTCTTCTGAATGTGCAGGCAGAGGTCCTTGGAGGAAGTAACCCTTCTGTACATTGTGGCATATTGGACTTTATTTGCACCTAGCTATATTTTTAGTCAATACTGTGTAAATTGGTTAAAAATCCAGCACAATCTCAGCAGTATTTTCCTGGTAATGAAGGGAGACAGTATCTGAAACATCCTTACCATGTTTCAATGGCTCTTATTTCTATAGTTAAACTGTAGTTCATGTTAATCCTGCATGTTCCCCTTCATCCTTTCTAATGATGAAAACCACTGCCTGAAGTCTTAATAAATGTAAGCTAAAGTTGTCACCATGCAGCTTCCTGCAGGACTGTGCACAGCATGGACAAAGCTTTCTGTTTGAGTCCAGATTGATCACTTGGTCTAAATAAATCTGAATCCCAGATTAAGTCTGCTAACAGCAATACTGCAACATTTTGATTAAGGATCCAGAAGTGACCCATATTTCATTTCTATTCTTGGAATAAATTTGCTTGGTTTGTAAACCATGTGTATATATAGATTTTTTTTTAACTTGCAAGATCAAATTCTCTAAGCTTCCCCCTACCTCTACTCCCCCTCCCATGGTTTGGATTAACTGTCACTAATCCAGACCAGTGGTTCTTGTCATTTAGCCCTGTTCTGCCAGCTCTTGCTTTTTAAATGATCTTTCTTTCTTGGAGTTTAATCTTTGGTTGTTCTAGTACAGGAAGGAAAAATGTGGAAGAACAGCATCAATTCATTATGTTAAGAACTGCCCCTTGGAAGGATGCTTAGCTTTAGTCCTTAAAACCACAAATAATCCTACCTATGTGTCTTTAAGTTCTTTTGTGTTTGACTTATGAAAGAGGTGGTTTGGAGCTGTTCAGAGAGCCTTGATTGCTTAATTCATTAGAGAAGTTTGTATGTGGCCATGGAGGATCCAGGGCACTTGGAACTGACATTGAGGCTCATGTGTGCTCCTAATGAGCAACCTGTCCCATGAGCCACAGTTGGGAAGAGGGTGGATCTTGCCAGGGAAGGTGATCAGCACTTCACAGGATGGAGGTCCTTATTTAATGCCTATGTATTCTCTGGAAGAAAGCTTTCATGGAGTTACTAGAAGATAGCCAAGGTAAAGAGATGGAAGAACTGACAGCTACAACTGTCAGTGCTGTATGTCTGTGGCACCAACTTGAAAATTTAAGTGAAGGCCCCATGCCTCCCAAGAAGTGGAGTATTCCTGAGACCAAACCTGTTTGAGCAGAATTAATGATAAACTGATGCAGAGCAGCATGCCCTGTGCTGCTTGATTTTTGGCCTAATGCCAAACACATTTTAATTGTATTTAATGTTTGATGTATTTGTCTGTTTTCTGGGTTGTAGCATTGGAGCCGATGGAGACCTGGCTCCTTGTCACCATATATTTTCTCTTAGCTTTATATTTTAGAAGTGAACAGTTTATTTCTTTCTCCATAACTAAGCAAAACTTTCTGAGCTGTGCAGCAGCGGTAGGTGGCAGAGATGAGTTTGTGCCTTGCAATTTGTGGCTTGTGGCCATCTATATCCACCAGCACACAAGAGCCACTTCTGCTTTTCCCCCTGCTGCCTGCAAGAGGAGAATGAAAGAGCTGTCTTGCAACAGGAGACAAATCGTCTGGTCCTTGTGGCGTGATGGGGTGGGTTTCCACTGGCATGGGTGGAGGCAGTTTAGGGCGTTGCAGTGTGTTAACATGGATTTCCTCATCTTTTTCAGTCCCTAAAGGAAAAGAGATAGAGGTGGTCATAGTTTTGTGCTTTTGTAGAGCAGTGTGACCCAGTGCTAATCAGACTAGGAAGAATTGCTAGGAAGAGCTATCACAATAATCTGCTTCAGTTCCTGCTCCAAAGTTTTTGTTACTGGCTTCCACCTTTGCAGAATTGCTTGCATTTACATCTAAAAACTTCTTAATGAACCCAGCACCCCACAACCTGAAGTGGGGAACCTTTTTTCTTAATTCTGCTAATGTAAAATAGAAGTCTTAACAAACAAAAAACAACCAAACAAAAAAATACACACACAAAAAAACCCCCTCCCAAGCATAAAATGAATTGAAATAACTGTTTTTAAGTAGAAAAACCTCAGGGGAAAAATGCTAAATATCTTCAGGACAAAGGGGTTTTGAAACCCAACATTGCAACACCTGCCACATTAAAAGCTCAAATATTTCTGATCTTCAAAATACTGAAAAAATTGTGAAGAATAGTGTTTGCTGGTATTATATATTAGATATTAAATTTTTAAAGTAATATGAACTTAAAATATACTGTCTCCTAGCAATTTAAAAATTTATTTAAATCCTCTTTAAAAGCTCTGAAGCTTTTACTTCAGTTTTGAGGCAAGAGAGGGAAGTGAATTTAACAAGCATAATATTATAAATTACAATAAAAGCATGAGATAATTGAGGATTAAGTATATTTGAAAGGTTTAAAATAATCTTGTTGGAATGCGGTATTTTACTTAAAATATAAAATACCATGGTTTTGCAAAATGTACAGTGTGTGTGTGTGGTTTTCCTTTCCAGATATCTAAAGCATTTTGGTTGCATATCCTATACTTCAGAAAACAACCTGTTTGGAAACACGTTCCTCAATCCATGTCTTCCTTAGCCAGTGTAGCGAGAGGAAGGAATAAATGAGTCCTCCTGTGTTATCAACTTACAGATTGTCTCTCCCTTCTAACCTCATGATAAAATGTCAAAAAATGTTACCAAAAAATCTGGTTTGGAGTGGATCAACTTCTTCAAACTAAGATAGCCTCTCTTAAATTCCACGTATCAAAAGTGTTTGTGTGTGTGCTTTTAGGGCACCGAGATAGGACTGCACCTCTGTTCAAGTGAGAGATGTGAACAGATGGTGTGTTTGCCTTTATCCTTCTATCGGATTAGTGTACCTTGGATTTTTTTTTCCAAGATAGTGTTTTAATACAAATCAGTTGGTGAAGAGCCTCTTACTATGATGTTGACGTTGATTGGGATGTGCTGCCATCTGTTTTCAGCGCTCTGCGTTTTGAAAACATCCATCCCTACATCACGTAGACAAATCTCTTGATCTTTAATAGGATCAATAGGGATGTGAAGTTGTTGGCTTGATGTCACTGAAGAAACCGGTTTGAATTGATTGGTATTTTCAGAGAATATTCACTGCTGAGAATTCATGCTAAAGGAAAAAAGCACAACCCTCATGAATTAGAGGAGTCTTACTGTGAAGAAAATGAGGAATTAAACCAATTGTCAAACTGACCGATTTATGCCAGTAATTACGAGTATGGTTGCCTGTCGCCTCTGAACTATTTTTAGTTGACACTGAGTTTGAACTAGACTCAGGCTGCTGGTTCCAGGAAAATTAGCTGTGGAGGTCAGTGGGCTGTGCAGGTTCAAGGGTCTGGCTTTATCCACCATGAATAGATTTTTTTTTTCTTTTGGGCACAAAGGAGGAAGTTCCCAAAACTTGAAAGGTGGTCCCTCCTAAGAAAACACATTCTAAGTTTTCAGTGCTGTTACTGGAAGGACCTAGCAATAAAAATCTGATTATACAAAATGCTTATTAGTCTCTAACTTGGGAGGAAATAATTTCTGTATTCCACACACAGCAGGAGATGTGTTACACATAAAGTTTTCTCTCATTGCCAAACTATCAATTTTTATGCTTTGTATTGATAATTATCCAAGTACAGAAGGTATAATGTGGAAAATATTAATTGCTATTATTATTAATTGCTATCTATTGCTACTGAAAATCTCTTCTGGTGTATTGTATAATTAGGATACCTACAATATCCTATTTTCTGCCAAAAATTAATCTTACAGTGATATTACTATGACTGATGTAGGAATACTTTAGACTAAGTGTTGCTTATCTACTTTGGAAAATGCTAAGTTTCAAGCATTTAAAGTCCTCATCTTTGTTATGGAGAATCATTCTGACTTATGCTAAGACTTCCAAGTCTTTTATGTCCTTCCTAGAAACTTTACTCCTGGCTTTTAGGAAATAACTTGCTTCTGATTTAAATTAGAGTGAATCTGGGATGCTCTAGCATTTGAGATAAGTTTAGTTTCATTTCAGGTTTTGTTGTCGTAACCTAACAGAAACAGCAACAGGAAAGACTCTGCTAATTCCCAGGTTTTAAATTTGGCACTTTTGTATGTTGTGTGGCAGAGACTTAGTTCATCTTTGATGTCTGAGCTCTGTTGAGTACGTACTTCCCCTGGCCAAACCTGACTCAAATCCTATTTAGGAATGACGTCCTCGTGAATTAGGCTGTTTTGGTTTTTCTAGCTGCGTATTATAGGAGTCATAAGCCTACGCAGGGTAGCAGCTTGTCTATATAACCCAGTTTCCTACTTGGACAAAGTAGAAACCAGCTACTGTCCTCTGTCTGACTTGCTGGATTTATCATCCTGTTTTGCCTAAAGATGGTGCTGGATGTGGAAGATACAGCTTACCTGCTAAATAATGCAGTGAGTATGCAGGGGGATGAATCTCTAAGGAGGCGTAAAAGCTGAGTATTAGTGTTTCGGCGGAGTGTAGTCAGATAAATAGCGGTGATACTCAGTTCGCCTGGTTGTACAAGTGTGGGGGGGGATCTTGATTCATTTCTGTAATTGTAACTTAAAACTGATGCAGATATTTAATTGCAAGGATTGGTGGAGTGGTGTTGCCTAGCATCCTTATTTTCAACAAAACGCATGATGTATTTCATGTATCAAATTACCAAGCTGAAGTTTAGATTGAATTAATACTGCAAATGTCTGAAGAGCTTCTGGGTTTTGCTCTGTAAAGGTTTTTTGCATAGGCTATATGCACCTGATTTCTACAGCATAATTTGTAATAGATTTGGATTTAACTTGGACTTTGCCTCTGGGCATTACAACACAGAGCAAGTCAGGCAAGCCTGGCAGCAGCACCGTACTGAATGGCATGGAAATCTGTGTCCTGCACGGTACATAAAATATTCTGAGGAAATGCTAAGACTGGTTATTAACTATATACTGCCTTGACTGTTATGTGAGCATCATTGTACTGTCATAGAAAACTGTTGTTCTGTGGTTCCCTTTATATATCTTTACAAACTAATAAATTGTTTATACTCATCTGAACTTCAGATGCAAAAGAAAGTGTTCACTAAATTGCAAATTGGGTTGTACCAGCATGCACATTTAGCTTACATAGACGTCCAATAAGTAAAAGATGGAAATCGGGAGGTCTTTGATTTGCTAACAAAGGTGTCTTTAGCTTTAAGATAATGAAGCAGTACAAACTCCAGTTATGTCAAATAATAACAGTAGGCTTCTTAGAGCTCTGGTAATCACCACAACAACGTTGTGGATACACTACTCTATAGCAAACTTCAGGCAGTTGGGTATATGCTAAGGTCTGTACTTAGCAAACCATAAAGCTAACGCATGTGGCTATTGCATTTATTGGGGAAGGCTGCTGTAATCACAAGGCCCCACAGTGTGATAAGTCTTTCTGGCAAATATAGGCTACTTAATACTGCATTCTTTGGAGAACAGTTATTTGCTGAGGTAAAGTCCTTTTCCTCGAAGACTGAGTATTTTTTCTTGGCAAATTGCGCTTTTCAAATGTCGACAGTCACGGTTGTAAACTGTTGTTTAGGTGTCGTTGTCAAACTTTCTCCTTTTTTTCCCCTTATATTGCCTTTTAATAAGGTTAAACACTATTTAACCATTCCCTCAGCATCTGGTTAGAGCTAGCAGCGCAAGTGTGTCTGTAGTTGTCTGTGGACTGGAGTAGGTAACAGTCAGACGTAAAACGTTAGCAGGGAGCCCACATCATGGGGAGCAGAAGGATGCATTAGCACAGGAATTGCAGAGACCCCTGGTGCTGCGGGCAGACCCTGGGATGGGGCAGCGTCCTGGTCAGACAGATCTGCTGCAGCGGGTGTTTAGAGGAGCACTTGGACAAACCCCTGACAGATTCCTCCTGTTCACCTCCAGGAGCAAGATGTGGAGACTATGCATGGCTCGGTCCATGTCACCATGTGTGGGTCTCCAAGGGGGAACCGACCAGCTATCCTCACCTACCATGACATTGGGCTGAATCGTAAGTAGACCTTTTATTTAATCGCACAGACACGTCCTGGTTCCTTAATGCAACTGCTGTAATCAAAGGTGTGGAAGCAGCGATGGTTAAGAAACCATCTCTGGGTCCTTGCTTGTTTATGTGCATTGCAATGTGTTAGATGGTACCTACTTCATATCTTACAGCAAGTTTAATTCCCAGATTTTCTTTCCATCCTCCCAAAGTAGATAACTGGAATATTTTGCTTAAAGGAACAAAAGATCTCTAGTAGCTCATAGTAACGGTGTATAAATGCTGTAGAAACATCTGCAGGGATGGCTGGGGGTGTATTGCCAGCAGGATTGACACCAACATTGCTGGTGCTTTGGCTGAGGTTCCTGACTGATAACCAGTCTTATGCTGCCGTGGAATTATATGAATTACACATCAAATCAAGATGATGAAATGAGTGCTGGCCTTGTATCCTTAGCCAGTATTTAAAAAAAATAACTTTAAGTGCCTTTTATCTTATCTGTCAGGTCCAAGAATATAATGACCTACTATCCGGATCTGCTCTAATTTGTTCTTTTCACTAGTGCTTTTTGTTTCACACAAGTTACTGTTTCTTAATATTTATATTTTAAAACACCTGCAGATCTTTGAAGTCTGGCTTTTGCTGGGGACAGATATTACTCATAAGAAAAAAAAAATCTGTTTTCTTGCCTGTTTTTAGTGGCACTGTTGTACTTTAGTTTGAATTTTCAGTGGATCAGAGCAGAGCTTAATCTGGGTCCCATCTTTGAATAAGACTTTTTTTGTTTCTAGAGTTACAAAGTCTATCTTTATGATAAATAAACTTTCTCTTCCTTTGAAAGAGGAAGAACATTTTCCCAAAATTGCATATTCTCCTAAAGCTGATTTTTGCTAAAAATGTCTTATATTCTACAGTGATTTTTGCTTGTACGTTGCAGTGTAAGTTCACAGAATCACAGAATCGCTCGGTTGGAAAAGACCTCTGAGATCATCATGTCCAACCATTCCTGTCTACCCACTAAACCATATCCTTAAGTACCTCATCTACCTGCTTTTTAAATACATCCAGGGATGGTGACTCCAGAAACATATACAGAATATTGAACTGTTTCTTTGGGCATCTCAAATGCAGTGCTAGAGAATTCATGCTTTCCATTCTTACAGGAGGAAAACATGCTAACTCTCTCTCCATGTTAATATTGCTTAAAAATCAGAAATCAAATAATTTCAAAGTTGGGAGCCTAAATACAGCATTGAATATCCCAGAAAGACGCTTTTGTTTTGAGCTGCCTGCAGCAGCCACTCATGTAATGTTCATCTTGTAATATCTGGGCAAAAGCACAAGTCACGATCTCAGCCTTGGATACCTTTTTCCTCCATCTGTTTTGACACAATCCAAAGAAAAATGACTGGACAAGTAAATGGATAATTTAATCTAAGCCAAAACCAGGGATGAATATTTCTGACTGCACTTTATTAGTATTTTAACTTTGCATAAAGAATATTTTATTGAGATTTTTGAGTACCAAGCAGATACTTCTGGTGGGTACCAAAATAACACAGATTTAACGTGTTTTAGTTGGCAATGAGGGAAGGAGCTGCTCAGGTTTTTTGCTTCAAGGGATTAAAGAAAGTTGGCACAGGTTGCTTTGTGGCAGGGCTTCACTGGTTTTTCCTCCTCAGAAATAAAGGGTTGTCACTTTTCCCAGGCTGTAACATAACTCACTTGATTGAACCAACTTTTCATTTAACTGCAAGACAGGTTCATAAATTATTCTATTATAGCTGCAAACTTACTATTCCCCCCCAGCTTAATTATTCCATATTTTCTTTTCCGCCTCAAGATAAAACTTGCTTCAATCCTCTCTTCAACTTTGAGGATATGCAGGAGATCACCCAGCACTTTGCAGTCTGCCATGTGGATGCCCCTGGTCAGCAGGATGGAGCACCATCTTTCCAGGCTGGGTGG